TTTAGGTCCCCAAGGAGCAGGGTGGTGGGATGTAGGAGATGGCATTAAAAAGAGTTCAGCAAGGGAAAACGTGTTTGAGCCTCTTGGAGACTGACTGAAATTTGACAGGTAGACATGACCAAGGGGTGGGAAGGCACATAGCCTGGTAGAGCAAATAGGTTAGAGGACATCTACCAAGGCATGAAACAGCACAGCATGTTCAACAACTAGTAGTTGAACTGTCATTGTATTTAAACATAGAACAGTTGTGTTAATGTATTCTATAATTTCTTTATAAATAAACCTTGCATCAAAGCCACATTGCTGCTCTCTCCCATCTTAAATACTGGTGGGGGGTGGGGAGGGCGGAATCCCATGAATTTTTTTTTGAAAATTTTACAAGATCATCCAAAGCATATTCTAGTGGAAAGTTAAAAACATAATTACAGTAGACATAAATTTATAAATGACTTACAGTTGAACATAAATGAGGTGGAAACCCCTTACAATTTATCTTTTCCATCACCCTTGGGTTTCAGGGTTAGCATTTTATTCAGTACTTTATTCAGTTGCAACAGGTGGTGGAAGTTATTCCTGGGTGCACAGAGCAGAGGTTAGAGCTTTTGACCTCGATGGACCTGAGTGTGAATCTTGCCTTTGCTTTTCCATAATTATGTGACCCTGGTTAAGTTTCTGATCTTACACAGTTTCCTTGTGTATAAAACAGGTGTTATAGTGGCACATGTCTCAAATGGATAGCCTAACAATTAAATGAGGTTATATCTAAAGATCCTTGCGGAAAGCCTGGTACTCGGGAAAAGCTCAACATATAATTTTAAAATAAGAACAAAACAAGTCAATACAATACTGGTCTGTAAATGTAAGCAAAACTAGGAATTGATGCAATTATCCAAATAATTGAGAACTAATTCTCATTCTTGAGAAATAGCAAGCTGTTTTTAATATAAAAACTTATGTGAGTTTCAGATGAAAATGGTTTGGGATTTCATTTTTCTAGCAAAGTCAATTCTCCTTTTTCTATTTAGCATATATAATCATCTTAAACTTCTGGTCTCACTAAACTGCCTAAACTTCTCTGACTTTGGTTGTCCCATTTAGCTCTGCAGTTAAAAGATACTTATATTGTTTACTGTAAATAGATGTCTGAAAGAAAAGTACCTACACACCAAAGAAGGGGATATTGGGATATTTGAGAAGCCTAAGACTCATAAACAGCATGGCACACTTAAAATAGACAGCTAGTAGAAGCCCATAGGAGCAGTTTCCATGGACACCTTGAGAGATTAGCACTGGCGACTGACTGACGCATCAGTTTATGGACTAGCACAGTGCTTTTCAGCACTGGCTGCATATTAAAATCACCTGGGGGCCCTGTTAAATTCCCATCTGTCATCTGATTGGAATGGTCTAGATAGCGGCCTTGGCATCCGTATTTTAAAATCCCCCTAGTAATTCAAATGTGCATCCAATATTGAAAACTACTGATGTGGTATAATGCCCACTTAGAAAACAAGAGAAGGAAAAAGGAAATACTTGTTATATACAGGGACACTTGAAGATGGTCACGTTCTGATTTTTTGTTGTTGTTGTTGTTAATAAGGTTACAAGAGGAAAATAATATCCGGCATTAAAAGGCTCTTGTTTAACTTAATTCAATTTAACTAGTGCTTACTGAGTGCTTACTATGTACACTGTACATTGTGCTAATTGTCAGGAATATATTTTTAAAGTCAATTCTCTTTTTGGCAGAAGGAATAATCTGATTAGGGAGACAATATTTACACACAAAGACATAATTAATGATAACTATAACACAACAATATGAACAATTGAATAGTCTAATTCTAAAGCTCTCAGGGAAGTCAGGGAAAAGGGCCAAAGTGACTGGAATCTCTGGGGAAGACTTCGAGGAAGCTGGAGGAAACTAAGCAGGTCTGAAAGCAGTAAAATCTGTAAAAGCAGAGAAGAAAGGGGAAGGAATCTCAGCATTTCATTATGGGGATGTACGCTGGGAAGAATCCAGTTTTTAAGTCATCATTCTAACTGGGCTTATTTATTGTTACCTAGTTTAAAAGCATGCCCAGCCAGCTCCTGGCCTGGTATGGGATTCTTTCTTCTTCACAATTCGGTGCCTGTGTAGGATGTGAGCAAACATACACTCTGGTAAAATGATAGCTATAGCTTCTTTCTGCAAAGGAAAAGTCTCTGAGCTCAGTTTTTAGGGAAAACAGAAGAAAAAAAGAAAACAATGGAACAATCCTGTAGAAATTAGATATTTTTAAAATTCTTAAACTTATTTCATTTTTACTCATTGCTCATGTGGGCTTCCTGACATTTTGTTTTCTTGGCTAATGTTCTTTAGTTTGCCATTTGTCTTCATTCTACAGTCTTGGTCCCTGGATTTGGTTGTGTCCTCCCTATAAAATGTTGGCAGTATTTACTTTAAAGTAGGTTTTAATATTGGTTGAGGATTTTTCTTCTTTCATTTGCAATTTGTGGTTGGGAAATGATCTGCTTTGTGTTTCAGGTTGTTTAATGTTTGCCAACAGAATATTCCTTCTTCCACTCCAGTGGGTTCATTTACAAAACATTTAATGTCATTTGTGTCTTTGAAGGATAGTGTATTCAATCTGAACAAAAGTAAGTTCCTGCATAGAGCTTGTGATGGTTTGTAATTGGTAAACTACTAACCTGACTAGGTTTGTGAACTAATAAAGAGTAGGAAACTTTTGGAAGTTTACTATTTTCCTTTTATTAATGTACTCATCCAACAAATGCTTATCAAAACACCCTTTCTGTGTGTCAGGCACCATACTAGGCACAAATAAGGCTCAGCTTCTGCCTCCAAATGACTTAAACCTTTGGCAGGGGGCAGCGGGGTGGGAAGTGGAGAAAGAAAAACAGACATAAACACAATGAGAATAATGCCATGATAAAGGCAAGAACAGGGAGCTATGATAAAACCCAGATAAAGGGTGATCCCTTCCCTAAACGGTGCCTCAACTCCAGTAAAAGCAAAGGGTTTTAGTTGCACAAATAATAGAAAGTCATGTCAGGCAGAGGAAGCAGTTTGTACAAAGGCCTAAAGACACAAGATATCATGAAACTTAAGAGTACAGAAAAAATAATTTAAGGTAAGACTGAAGAGATGAACAAGAACGAAGTACGGAAGATCTAGCATGTAGTGCCAAAAAATGTGAACTTAACTCTCTAGACAACATGGAATTACTAAAGTACTTTAAGGAAGAAGATACATGATGTGGCTTAACGTGGCTGTAATTTGGAAAACAGTGAGGACGGAAAATAGATAAAGTAGATGCAATAACCTAAGTGAGAAATAAAGAGACTATGGACCAGAGTAGTAGCAATTCATATGCAGAAAAAGGGATGAATTTGAGAGGTAGTAAGAGGTAGAAATGACAGAATACATAGGTAATTTGATGAGGATAAATATGGGAATGGAGAAAAGGCAGTCAAGAATGATGTTCAGGTTTCTAGATTGAGCAATTGCATGGATATGATGCCACCAACTAAACATTTCTCTCTTACACTCATCATGGCTTAAGTAAATTATTCCCAGAACCAAGCAAAACAAATGCGTTTAAGTAATAATGGAAGTTTAAGTGATTCATTCACGATTCAATGAATAAAATGGGCAAAATTTCAATATATTTATTGAAATTTATTATATTTGGATGTTATTTCAATTGAGTGCTTTTTAATTTGAAGCTATTGCTTTTAAGTAAATCAGCATGGGAAGTAGAGAGTAGAAAATGTACCTTTTTAATATAAGTAATCTAAGGACATTTTCCTCTGATTAATAAAACCATAGACCTCTGATACCACATCTCATCCATTCGTTTAACCTCTGAGTCTTGAAAAGAGACAACAAATAGGCATCACCTTGAACACAGCTAGGATGTCAACTGACTGAAAAATCCCATTGTGTCAAGGATCGGCCTATTGTAGCCTACTGACTACAGGTCTTCACTGAGGCACATTCAGGGTGCAGGGGGCAGCCTCCTCATATTAAATAATGTTATGCTATCTCACATATCAAACATAAAAAAATTTTTTGATATGTTTAGAAGATAAAGGGATTTGAAATGGCAAGAGACCAAAGAAAAATGGTAAAAGGCTTAGCCCTCAAATGAAATAAGAACGGGTAACTATCCATTTCATGAATAACTAACGAGTCTGGAGCACTTTCTGGCATATGTTTGTTAACTGGTACTGTATGTCAGAAACCAAGTCAGTTTCCTGCCCTACTGGAATGTGCAGGCTAGTAAAAAAGACAGTCATTTAACCAATGATGAAAATTTGCTGAAAATTTGGAAAATAAATCAGAGGATATGAAATTCCAAAATGGTAAAAAATAAAATTAAATAAGAGTCTCTTGGCTCATTTCTAGAACACTGAGAAACCTGATATAAAGTATATCGAAATCAATAATAGTTAAAGAATTTTAGAGGAGGACATGCCTACAGACTAATTTTTAAAATGAAAAGCAAATTATAAAAAGTGAACATAATAATTTGGGGCAAGAGTATACAAGGTGTCAATCAAGTCTTCAAAGAAGAAAAGACATAGTGAATGGTTAATTAATATTACATTATTATACATATATTATAATATATAAGATATTATAATATATAATATTGAAATTATAATAAAATACACAATAATATGTTGATAATATAATACAATACAATATATTGTCATAATAATATCTATTGTATTATCCTGGGTTCAGAGAAACAGAAACAGTAGGATATATGTCTCAGAATCACCCCTAAGTAGGGCTGTAATGATACAGCTGTCCACTTTTCGTGGTATTAGCATAACATGCAGAATCATCTGTAAAATAGGCTCAAGATTTTTATTCCTCATTCATTGGATTGTAAGGATCTCCACTGGGGGTTACAGTGAAATAGGATGAGAAGGCAATGCAACAGGAGTCAGTTTTGGAAGAGTCTGAACCATCTGCTAAAGCAACTTACCTTCCAAACCCATCCAAGCTCAGTCTCTGATATGTCATTTCCACTTGAAGATAGATTGTGCTGTATACACCCAATCTTGTAGCTGGTGGGTCAGACAACATCCAATTCATGATGGGAAGCTCAAGCCACATAGTCATTTGGTGTCCCATGGTTAGGCATTCAGTCTCTGTTGGCAGGTGCAGTCACAAGCCTGAAGTTGTTTTCAAAAGAATAATAACTTGCAAAGGAAGGCATAGATTTGCTCTAAAAGCTGAGAGATCTACTAGCTAGGAGTTCCATACAGCATCCCTATCTACTATGCATACATTGTCAGTGGTTCTGCGAATCACGAGGCCCAGGTGGTGGAGACAACAGGCACTGGAGCCAGAATTGCTGCAGTGCCTTCTCTTGCTCTAGCTTACATTCAAAACTGGCAGCATTATGGTCTGGAGACTCCGAGTTGAAAAATTAACAATCAACCGCATCTTTCAAAAGTTACAGTTTGCTCATCTGAAAGATGTAAATATTTACCTTCCTCAAAGGGTTGTGAGGATTAAATGTGACATTGCACAAAAGCACATCGCATAATGTGGAGTATATAGATGACTCTTGATAAATATTAGTTGTTACTATTATTTTATGAGAGAAGACTATTACACGTCAGCTGTACACACAAAAGCACACCTCAGTCACCATACACTGTCCAGAATAGCAGAACAAGAGCACGCAAACTTCAAAATGTTCCAGGGTCAGTTTTTGCCACTTGACTTTTCCTAAGCAGCTGTTCTCCCTCAAGTTAACTGAAGCTGTATACCTTCGGCTGCTCTGGCAGGGCTACGTGCGGACCCTCGGCACTGGCTGAGTTTGTCCTCAAAACAGCCTGACTCTCTAACCTTAAGTAAACTCAGCGATCCAGAGCCTATGACAAATGCACAGTAAGGACTACATTATGACAGAGGAGCTGCTTGATTTATTGTGCCTTATGAAATAGAAACCTCCTCGCATCATGGGAATTAGTGATGGAATTTTTAAAAGAATAACAAAATGAAATCAGAAATGGAAGAAAAAAATGCCCGGGTCCAACTCAAAAAAAAAAAAAAAACTTTCTAATAAAAAATGCAAACCAGATGCAGTTAGAGATGACTGATAATTAAGAATGATAAATGACTAATGTTTTCTATTGAATTTTCCAGTGCACACTATTGTTTCTACATGAGGGAACGATTTACATATGGCTGCTGGGCTATCCTTTTACCTAAATTTGATTTCACAGGCAATGCTCTCAATCCCAAAGTGCCCTCTCCATCACTGAATCCTGTACTTCCCTCAGGGAGGTGACTATCATACCTTTCAGAGATTTCTTTTGTAAGAATAAGAAAGGATGAACTAGATTATGAATATTCTCTCCAATGAGCATAAAATTTACGTGACAAAGCCACAATAAGTGGGATACAAACGCTGTTTCCTCAGTGGGGATGATGCATTAGCACAGAGCTACCCCCAGTCCTAAAGTCTATCTTGAGATTAAGATAGACAAGGGATGCTTGCTCCATTATTAGGACTATGCTAATGTTCAACTGAGACAACCAGCTTCAACAAGACTTGGTATGTAACTTCAGGGTTTTTTAGACATGAGGTGGTAGTGTTAACTACATAAAAAGAGTTTTAATGAAGAACAGGCTAATAGTCAAATGATCAACCTCTTTCTTCCCCTAGAGAACCCTACTTAAAGCTTAACATTAGCCTTTCCCAGTCGAAGTTTCTGTATATCAATTATTGTCATCCAAAATTGTCAACAGAGCTGTTACATCTTCACTCTAACACAGGGAAGAAAATAATGTTTACTTTATATATGTCAAAGGAAAAACAGCCCAATCTGAGAAGAAAGCAAATGTCTTCTAAGAGGAAACTTGATTTCTCTCACACACCCTCTAGGGCCAGTAGCACTTTCTACCCAGTCAATAAGAGGATTTTGGTTTGATTCACCATATTACCCGAGGACATTTTATGTAGCGAGATTTAGGAAATTTTTCACATGGATTCTTATTCAGTTCATTTAACTATCTTGGATAATAAAACTTTCTTTACCTTTCCTGCCTTGCTTGTAAAGGAGGAGAAATTCTGCTTTCCAGATAGAGATTTCCAGCAAACTTTGACAGAATCAGATGAAAGAAACTACGTAAGAAAGGAAAGTAATCTGTTGGAGACTCTTATCTCATTTTGGATGTCCGCATGTCCTGTTTGATTTCCTAATCACACTCTTCAAAGCCCAGATGTTGCACATCTGGAACAGAGCAGGTTGGACATTGCGGTGATGACAATGTTAAAGAAAAGTCACTCTTCAGTTCCACGTCAGACAGCCAAATTGCTGTTAGTTTTAAATTTAAAAATTGGCCCCAGCTGCTCCAACTTCTTTTGGCTCCTAATTTAGAACATTAAATAAAGACAAAGAATTAATCAGCCCATTGGATAGAAAGTAAGCAAATGTCATATGAGTTAGAGACTGAGGTTACAATAGTTTGGGTCACCAGAGAGTTATTGCATATCGTCTTTCAGACTTTTCTCCAGAAGTGTTTGGCTAAATAGGACAACTGGGCCAAATCTCCTAAACACTCTGCAAAGCTTGGGTCTGGCTGTGGGATCTATACCCTTGTGGTGCCATAGCCAGAGAAAACATTACTCAGATTTACTTTAGATATATGCGAAATATCCTCTAGACTAATAGTCTGATTTTTATGGAGGTGATAGGGAAGGAGGGGAGTTTCTCTCCTAATATTCTTGAAGCTGATTTAAATATTTGACTTTCACGAGTGGAAATTTACTGACAAAACTAAATGCATTTTAATTCAGACAGTAATCAACCAACTAGTAATTATAAAAGCTACTAATAGTTGAATCAGGATTAGAAGAAACACATATAGGATAACTAATCTCTCATTTATATTGTATTTGTATTACAAAAGCAACAATTCTGTGATGTAAATATATAGGTTATAACTATTAGTACTTTCTTAGACAACTGCTAGTTTTCTGGGTTTAAAGACAAAGTAGTATAAGTATGCTGCTTTGAAGTTTTGTAGAGTGGTAACTGGTTGCTCTTCTCTCTTAGTCATAAGTTACAGAAACCCAAGCTCCCCCATTGCTTACGCCAAAGAAATACATGGCTTATATAACTGGGGAAGTCGAGGCATGAACTGGCATTGCTTGTTCCAAGGGTTCTATCAATGTCTTCCAAACTCTATATCTTTTCTCTTGGCTCTACAGTCTATTTGTTTGACTTCATTTTCAGTCAGGCACACCTTAAAGCTAGGAAGCCATGACAAAAGGGCTCTCCTGTCTCACAGCTATTTCTACTTGGTTAGGTGTAGGGCATATGCTTAGCCCTGGAGGAAATCAAAAAGTCAAGCCAGAACCATATGAATTGAAATTGGGAGACAGTTGGTTCTCATAAGGAAATGGGGTTCTGCTACCAGAGGAGATAGTAGATGTCCACTACATATGGCCCCTTGTTCTCAATATCTCTCCACCTCATATCCCCCACTCCATCAATTAGGCAGACAGAAAAAGGCAGTGGGTGAAATCTAATTGCCAAGATATTGTGACAGAAGCAGTTAATGCTCACCAATTATTTAGGTGCTCATATACATGTCTCAGCCTCCCCTGCAGTTATCTGGGGCCCTGTGACTAGATCTAGCCAAATAGACTCTGAACCACAGTGACACGTGTCACTTCTAGGCCAAGACAAGTAAGGGCATTGTGCCTTCTCCAACTTCCTCCATTTTTGCAATAGTGACCTTGGAGACTCAGTGGTCCAGGTGAGATGACTACCAGATGGAAGAGGACTCCCCAACCCAAACGGGACTCCATGTGAGCAAGAAACAAACTTTATAACATTAATTTCCTGAGACAGGGATTTGCCTGTTGTAGCAGCTAGGGTTAATTACCCTAACTAATACAGTGCTATTTCTAAGCAACCCCTATGTAGAGATGAGAAGTAGTAGTTAAATATAGCCTTACTTTATTTAAAGCCTCACACAGTCACTTATTCTCTGACTTCAACATGGAAATTTGAAAGCTTCCTTTAATAATAAAGTGAAAAGCAGTTGTTTCAAGGTGTCCTTAACATGCCTCCATGATTAATTTGTTGACAACAAGTTATTTCCTTTATACAAAGCATTTAATTGGCATTTGAGATTTAATTTTAGGATACTTAATTCCCTAAATAAGATGTTCTGTTTACATTAAAATGATTTTTTTGAGTTTTGAAGAAGCTTTCTGAAATCGTGTTAATCCTGTTAGCAGCCATTACTTTTTTTTTAATTAAGAAATTTTTGATAATGGAACATCACTATGAAAATAGATTATTTTTATATATACTTTAATAAACTTTAAAAAATGAATTGAATGCATACTGAGCTTCAGATTTTTTCTGGTAACCAGTCCTGAAAATAATTCTTTAATTATTTGCTCTTTTTTATTTGCTTTTTTCTCCTAACATATTATTCAGGTGGGATCTAAATAAAGACTCTGAATAACTAAGTTTCTATTTATCTAGGTTTCACTGAAGTAAGAAATTGAGAGATCATTTTGGATTTAATTGTCTCTATAATTGAGGAAAAGAGCATATAAAAAAGCTACTTCTTAAGAAAAAAGAATCAATGAAAGACATTTCACACTAACAGTGTAGAAAAACAGACGTTGCCCCAGGGGGCTAACAGCAAAAAAAAAATTAAGTAACAACTCCTAGGCCCTGATGTTTTCTCGCCATTGTAATGGGCCTCCTGATAATTTTTTTTTAGCTATTCAAAGTATGTTAGCTTATATGTTCCCATCCCCATCCTGAGAAGTCTACTTTGATGAAAAATCTAGATATTCAAAAAATAGTGTGCTACTATATTAAAGAATGAAACATATGCCCTGTGCTTAAGGTGCTTGCAGTCCAGTGGAGCATACAATAATGTGTGATTCTGGTTTAATAAGTACTAAGTGATCTGTAAGCCAAAAGCACAGGAGCACATACTGCAGGAGCATGAAACCTTTCAGAGGAAAAAGACACTTTAGCTTCATCCTTAGAGACTCCCAGCCAAATTAAAACACAAAGTAAGGACAAACAAACAGAGACTCATGGACATGAACAATAGACTAGTGGTTAACAGAATGTAGGGAATGGGGGAAGGGGGGAGGTAGACGGGGTAAAGGGAGTCAGATATGTGGTGACAGAAAGAAAGCTACTATGGGAGATGAATACACAGTGTAAAGTTAAAGTGTACAGCTGAAACTTATTGGACTTTGTTAATCAATGTCACCATAAAAAAATAAATAAATAATTTTTTAAAAAAAGATTCAAAGTAAGGGCATTCCAGGCAGAGAAGAAGGCAAAGAGAGCAAGGAGGATTGGCTGGCTTAATTCTTAATGTAATCAGCCATGGAACATTCCAGCATCCATTCAGAGTCTTTCTAAGACATGATTTTACATCCAAGTAAGTTGTGCTTATCTCTCAGAAGGTCCATTCACAAAGCGTTGCATGAATCCTCGGTTTGAGAACTCCTGTTGCCCACAAATTCATCCCAAGAAGCCAAGATATGGCATTTCACATCGTTACTCCTGCTGGACTCTCAGGAAAGCCAAGAGACTCAGCCAGAAGGCAGGTGGTCACCCACGGGCTGAGCTGATTGGCTCAGCAGTTAGCATGTGACTCATGAACAAAACAGGGCCTTAACCTTTGGGATT